AATTTGGGGGTACAAGGGGGTCCAAAGTAATTTATGGGTCCAAAATCCACAATTGGGGGGGGGGGGGGTACAAACTAAGCCTTTTTCCGGTGTTTTGTACCCCCGAATTGATGATTTTGTACCCCTAAATTTCTTTGTACCCCAATGACAACAAAATTGTTGTACCCTCCGAATTATTTGCCAAAGGTTAGGACTATAAATTTTTGGGCTCTATCGGAGTCCAGTGGTCCCATAGGATTTCAGTAACCTTATGGGATTTCAAAGGTTCCATAGGAGTTTAGTGGTCCTATGAGATCTTTACATACTGTCGTTGCTGCAAATGAAGATTTTTCTTCTGAATTTCGTTAGAGATTTTTGAGCTTTCTAATCGAATTAGTATACCACCAAAATCATATTGGGCCATTAAAATCCCACGGATTATTGAAATCCCATGGGTCCATTATAATCCTATGGACCCTTTGAATTTTATGGGACTATTGAAATTCTATGAGACCAATTTTTGTAGCGGATTGATAGCTTGAAAAAAAAGACTCTTATAATTGTCATATGAAACATGCAAATTCACCTAGCGAACACAATAATCTGAAATCTGTGTGAGCTAAAAAGGAAGGAAAGCTCAATTTTTAAAACTACTCTTTCAGTTGGCTTCTAGAAAAGTGAGCGTGGTTATCGAATCCGTAAAGAAGACGATTTTGGAAAGAAAAGCCACGTCATTACGATCTAGTACGATGGTCTGTCTCGTGATGTTCACAGAAATAGAGCGAATGTAATGCAAAACAGCAAGAGTGACGAGAATGGAAGAGAAAATTGTAGGGAGCCATAGAAATCAATCGGGAGATGTATGTATCATGAGGTTTTTAAGAACTCTTCTCAATTGGAAAAATATCAATTCCTATCTTCTACAGTAATCAGTGGACGCTAAGGATTATTAAAATATAAAATTGAGGATCCATGTGATCACTGTTCCCTAAATCCATAAAAAAGGAAACCAAAAACCAGGATTCTCTAGTTCCCTATCAAAACCCATCAAAATGATTAGGAGTGAACTGCAACTTCTTGCCAAATATCTTATAGTCGTCTCATACCGAAAATCCAATAAAATACAAATGATTGATGTTCGACGCGCTGTTCTTTCTAATCAGGACT